TAGAACATTATTAAAAGAAGATAAAGTATGATTTATACATAATTAATTTGATTAACAGTTTCTTGTGGATAGACTTTACATTGGGTTAATAATTCTAAAGTAAAAGAACTATTTAAATTTTTTAATCCTTTTCTCAAGCTTCCTAATTGTAAGACTCTTGATGGAAACATTTTGATAGACACTATTTCTGAAGAAAATTAGGCTATGAAAATTGCATTAAAAGAAGATCCAGTAGGTATAATACTTATCTTTGATGGTTAAACAAATATGAAGAATGAATAATTATTAGGAATAGTTATAATGATATTAGAAAGAAGACCTTATATATGAAAAGCATCTAATATTAGTTTAGAAAGAGAAACATATGTTGAAGTAATAGAAAAAACAGAAGCTATTATTACTAATTTGAAAGAAAAAGGTATTAAAGTATGTGTTATTGTAACAGATAGTATAGGTGCATATACTATGGTCAAGTAATTTAAATTTTAAATTGCATGTATTTTTTTTAATAGATTTGCATTATTTTTAACATATTTATAAATGTTTAGACAATAATTAAGAATTTTAAATAGAAAAGTTATTTTCTTATATTGCTTTACATACTAACTTAACCTCTATATTGGTGAATTATTTAAAGAGTCAACAGATTTAAAAGTTTTAATGAATCATGCAATTAAAGTAATAACTTATTTTAGAAATGTTAATAATAAATTTTTCATAGCAAAATTACGTGAACAGCAAAAACAAAATTATGATAAATATTATACATTAGCAGCTCTAGGTGAGACTCAATGAAATAGTTATTATGAAGTATATGCAAGTCTTTTGAGAATCCAAAAGGCTTTACAGGTAAATTTTATGACATTAATTAAATGTAATTAATTATTAAATTTATTAAATTTATTAAATTTTGTATTTTAAGATATTGGCAATTAATTATAAACCACCCTTAATCAATCTTAATGAAAAACAGGAGAAAATCTCACTATTTTACATGAAAATTTTGAAATTATTAATTTATCTACATTTTGGATTAATCTAAATATAATTGTAGAAATATTATATTCTTATTGTAAATTACTTAATATTCTTCAACAAGATAAAGCACAATTATTTCAAGTTATTCATAGTCTTGCAAATCTTATTTAATTTTGAAATAATTATGAAAATACTCAACTTGCAACAAAGATATTATTTCAATTAGAAAAAAAATAAAATGATTAGGAGCAGCCACTTCTTTTATTATCATATTTATTATATTTTGAATATCGAATAGAATAATTTAAGAATAATTTAGATATTAATTATATAACCTTTGGCAAGTGACTTATTTATTATTATTAAGCATGGTCTGAAAAGAAATCAACTTGTATTTTATGTAAATTTGATGATTTTCATTTGAGAAAACATCCTTTTGATAATAATACATATAAGCAATTTAATGGTGATATTTGGAGATACTGGTATTATGCAAAAGATTTTACAAATGAATTAAGTTTTATTACTTATAAGTTATTTAATATTTGTATGAATGCAACCTCTATTGAGCATTTTTAGAGTTATATAGGATTCTTACAATTAAATCAAAGAAATCAATTAATGGTATTATTATTTATTTTATATTGTATTTTATACTATTTTATGTTTTAATATTAAAATATTATAATTTACTATTTTTTAGTCATTAAAAGCTCTTAATATGAGTAAATTAAGAGCAGATATTACATGGAGTTATCATGCTAATTCTAATTCTTCTACCCCAACTCCATTAAATATTATAACTGATGTTGAAAATCAAAAAAATCATGATAAAAATCCTAATGAAAATCCTGATAATATTCTCAAAAATAAAGATAATAAAAAAGAAGAAGAATCAATTAATTTAAAAAAAGAATTTGATAATTATTTGTAAGGGTGGTCAAAAATGTTAGAAGAAGAAACTCTTAAATTTCAAAATGATGAAAATAATATATTTGAAAAATTAAATAAAGTAATGGTTAATGATATTTATTCATCCTACAATTGATTCTAATACTAAATGGAATTTAGATTCTCTTTTTAAGAAATTAGAATTATCTTTTTAATTATAAATAAATAAATAATATTACTATGTTGTTAAATATAATAATAATAGTAAATAAATAATAATAAATAATTATAATAAATAATTTTTAATATAATATATAGATATTCCAAACATATACAAGTCTTTATTCAAGGACTTGGATTATCCCAAATATCTATCTAAGAACATGTTTCAGTTTCAGTTATAACACTGATCTACAGTGAAATTTTGATTATTAATTTTCACTTTTGCTTAAAAAGAGGTGGAATTTTTAAATTTAATACAATAAAACACAATAAAATAATAAAATTAAAATATGTTTAAGATAGTATTTCGATATAAAATGTATTTTTGAATTTAAGCATATTTTTGAATTGATTCTTTAATTTATTAATTTAATTATTGAAACATAGATATTTTCAGAAAAAAAAATTTTTCATTTATGAATTTCTTTATTATGATACTCTTTATTTAAACTGCAGATATTTATTATAGTTTATATTTTTTTATAATTAAATTATATTGATTGATTATAAAAAAATAATTTGGTTGTCAAAAATTATATGAACTTCAATTTTATAAAATTATGTGATTGAATGATATAATCACATGATATAACTATGCATTTTTATTAGTCAGATTACAATTATACCCCTGTAAATACCTATGTAAAGTTAGTCTAAAATTGACAAATTATTAATAATATATCTAACTTCTAAACTTTGATAACTTTTTGAATAATGATTTAATTTAAAATGTAAGCTAATTTTTTGAAAGATTATAATATAAACTATAAAAAAATCAGTTTATTTTTTTAAATATTAATTTAAATTGAAAGACTAGATACAATTTGAATTTATATTATATTTTTAATAATTATAAATGTTATGTATCATATGATATGCGAAAATATGAAAAATTATATAAATTATATGTGACTATATGACTATATGACTATCAAATAATCACAATTATTTTTTTGATAATCAAAAATATAATCAACTCAATCAAATAATATATTTGCATATATTTATTATAAAGTAACTTAAAAATCAGTATAAATAATTTTTCGCTCAAATTGTATTATTTTTTCTTATTCTAGCTGTATAAATAATGTCATCAGTCTCTATTTTAACTGCAAACACATTTACATCAGCCGAAATATTAGAAGGTAATTATTTCTATACATTTTGTTTTAAGATTTCTGCCTTTCTCAGTGATTAAGAGTTTTTTTCTATTAGAATTCTTAATAAAAGATCTTGCCTATTTTACGACTGATCACAACTAGTCTTTGTTGAGCTTCTTACTGTATCACTAATAAAGAAATGATTTTCTGTTAAATAAAAGTAAAGAATACTATCGCTATTCCCTTAACCTAACAGATATAATTAATTAGAAAGTAGCACTGATATTCATATTAAAAAAGGCTAGCAAAACATTCAGCTTATTCAACTTTAAGTATTTTTTTATCCAATTACATCAAATTGCGATTGGAAAAACATTCAGATTAGCAATAAATAGGTCTGAAGGGTGTAATATCTTTTGGATGAGATTGAGATCTGCATTCAATTACTTAATACTTCTAGTTGAGGCTAAAAGTGCATAAGTTGAGGCTCAAGTAATTCTGTCTTGTGTAAGTAAATTTCCTATTTAATTATAAGTAGATGGTTTGAAGAATGTGATATCCTTTTAGATGAGGTTGAGGCTTGTGTTCAATTATCTAATACTCTTAGTTAAGGTTAGAAGTACATGAGTTAAGGCTTAAGTGGTTTCGTCTTTGCAATTGATATTATTTACAATTTAATATTTAATAAAGCTGACTTTTGCAACCTAAAATATTATATTATTAATAGAAAAAAAAGAAATTAGAGCTGATAAAAGAATTTTGGAAAAGTGCTATATTAGCTCAAAGGAGAAAATTTAAAGCTATAATCAAATGCAAAACATTATTAGTATAAAGTATTTGATTTATTAATATAATAAAATATATGACATATAAATATTAACCCTATTTTATTTCCTTATCACAGGAGAAACATACTACAAGTGCTGTGTGTTCTGCAATTAGACAAGAAAGAATTGTATAGGAAAAGCTTATAAAATGCTTAGAAGATATGAACTTAAGTATTCAAAAAAGGTATATAATAAATTGTGATAATGCTCAAATTCTTATATTTTTTTAATTAGAATTTTTAACGTCAGGATGAGATAAAGCGAAGAAAAATTTCTGATTATAATGTCACTCTGTTTCTACCTAAAATTTATAATAAAACCTCTTCTATCATCACTCCTTCTGATCTTTAGAATCATAATGCTGAATATGAAGAAAAATTAGAAAAGGTAAGTAACTAATATGTTTTTTCTTACTGTTGATCAATTATTCCAATTTTTATTAATTTATTCATATACCACCTAAAACAAGTTAGTTAGAAAACTTTATGTTCTAAGAAATAAATCAGTAGTAAATTAAAATGAGGAATAAATAATAAAACAATATTAATCAGAAAATCAAAAACTATTAAAATGAATTAGGCATGATGAATTATATCTTCTTACTAAAATTTGTAATAAATGTTGTCTGAAAATAAATAACTTCAAGTTAAAAAATGATGATTTGTTTAATAACGAATATGAAAAAAGGTACTAAAATAATTTTTGCCAATAATTCTATACCAATCATTTAATTTGAATTATTTTTATTGAATAGGTTGATTAAAGCAAATATAATAAATATTAGTACTAATCGTTTTCTTACAAATAAAAAACTTTTAAATATATTAAAGAAATAAGCAAAATCTATTCTATTTTCATATATTAACATTAACGGACTCAGAATTTAGATCAAAAACAATTATGCGATAAGCATATGATTATTTATATCTTTTATTTATTCATTAGATTTATTAATCATTATCAATTTTCTTCTACCAAAAATATGGCACAAACCTTGGCTGAATCAGCTCTATCACAACACTTTTTTAAATTTAAAAGACCATTATGGATAGTCTTATATAAATCTGGCCATTTTAGAGTAACCATTGTTATGTCAATCGCGAAAAATAAGCTAATTGATGGCATAGATAACAATAACTGGCTAGATTTAAAGAAGAAAGAAGAACATATCAGCAATATGGAATGCCTTGCAATTCTTGGTCTCATCTTTGTTTGGATATTGTTCCTCAAAGTGAATTGGCCTCCACACTTACTGCAAGCTACATGTGCCTTTATTTATATATCAATAATGCTTGAACCATAATTATGACAGAATGCATATCAGAAGCAATACTTACCAAAGTTTCAGTATATATCACTGATGATCTGAAGGGATTGGGTTGGTAACAATTCTAGATCCGCTCATAAACTTGATAAAGGAAGGACTAGTTGAAGAAGGATATTGAGGAGAAGTGGTTATATGCCTTATTTTGTTACATGTGTGAGACCGCGTTTATGATCCATTACAGCTATTGAACAATAAAGAGAGTTCAAATTAGTTTTCTCATCCTATGCCTCTGGTATGCTACTTGAAGTCTCTTCTTACTTATAAGGTTTCTATAAGGTGATTTCTAAGATAAGTGAAGATAACATTAAGAAGAGGTTGTTGAAAGCATATATCTGATTTAACCATTTTGTTGTAATTACATATATATCACATCCTAGACATATACTTGAAGCACTTAAGCGCAGCACTGCTTTTGTTCGTAAGCAAAATTAGCAGGAAACAGACTTGATCATTCCTTTGATATTGGATATTGGGATTAATGACCCTATTATGTCAAACAATATTTTATATGTTCTGATCTCTGTGAAGTATTATCAAAAAAGCACAGATACTAATTACTCCAACAATGCAACAAGCATGAATTCACTATCAAATGTTAGAATAGAACAATTATCCACCTTATTATTCCTATCATTATATATGCAATTCAGTATTAACATGTCAGGTGTAGATGAAGAATATCACTTTCCGCAAGTTAGTATAATTATTTAAACTACAAAGTTAAAAATAGAAAAGATTCAACAGCATGAAAGTAGCAAGGTCTTTCTGGGCATTTGCCACAAAAACAGAAATGGAAATCTAATGTCAAAGATAATGAAGTGAATAACAGTGATGAGTATGCATACAAATATTGCTATCAGTTTGCAGTCAAATTGTTTAATCTCACTACATATAATTTCTATAAGAAAATGACAGCAGGAATCAGTTGCTGAACACTGTTCGATAATTGCTAGTTGCTTGACAGGATTCTGTCGATTGTCAAACAGATGAAAAGAAATATTTTCTGATTTAGTAGATGCAACCATTAGTGTATACGTCAGAGAAATCTGCTATAAGTTCACAATCGCATTCAACTCTTAGGATAGAAACTAATATTCATTATAGAATCATAAAAAGTGAAAGTTCTTTAATACCAGCATCTTTTAATTCAATAAAGCAAAAACTTATTTCTAATTCAAAGGATTTTAATATTAAAATCACACGAGTTATTGAAGAAGGCAGAAGATATCTCCAGGAGAAAGTAACAAAGTAACATAAGTTGCAGATACTGTGTATTTCTAGACATGCAGAGTGCAGCTCAAAAATAAAGTCACTTTCTCTGTTTTAGAAACTAATTCAACTGTATGCATAAACCATAAAACTGAAAAAGAAAAGCTTAAAATTAATATATAGGATTATATATATATAGTAATACTTTGAAGTAGGTCATAATTGCTTGTATATTCATTATTGTAAGTTTGAAGTAATTGCAATAAAATAAAATAAAAATTTATATATAGGAATACTCGTATATAAAAAATAATGAATTCAATGGTTCAACTGAATATGAAAAAGCCATGTACTTCTTGAAAATAGGTTGCAATTATGGTTGTTCTCAAAAGATTCTGAGAGAAAAGTTTGCTGAAATACGTGAGATATTTCAAGTTTTTTCTTGATCTAAGCAAGACATATTTTTAATGGCTTAACTAAAAGCAATGAATGGTGAAGAAATAGCTGCCAGCTGACATCTTAAAAGAAAATATATACTAATAAGAGAACTTTTTATTATTGAGATTGCAATATGCTGCTCTGTCAAAAAACGTATCTCAATATGTTAGGAATTAGTCACACATACTTCAAAAATGTTAGAAATCATCTGGTAACGAATGGTATAATACTATATGTTCATAGTAATATCAAATGAATGCCTGATGAAAAACTAAAATAGACATTGATATAATAGTTGCTACTGCAGTGAAGAATTTTCTCAAAAACTATGTTAAAATTCATAGACTACCAAGTCCCAGTAGAAATGTCAATTGCATTACTCAATCACTTACACTTTTACCAGCTGAAATAAGTTACAAGTCAGTCTATTGTGGTTTTATTGCAAGTCTTGAAAATGATAGCATATTGAAATTGTTAAAATATGATGCATTTCACAAGTTATAGCACCAATTAACGCCTTATATTTAAATTATGAGTCTACAAACAGATTTATATAACACATGCTAACATTTTCAGAATGGCTTACAGTATAATTCTCATAAGGAAAAAGAAGTGAAAGATTTATTGAAAAAATTCAAAGAACATCTAGTAAATGTTAAGTTAGAGAAAAATTATTACAACAAAAATACGAAATTAATAGAATAATAAAGAAAATTGGTAGATGAGCATTTTATGACAAGAGGTAAAGTTGACTATTGTAGTGTTGATGCTACTGCTCATTACAGTTATGATTGAGCGCAAAATGTTCACATTTCTTATTCTGATCAACAGGTAAACAAGATTTATTATTTTAGTTCACGTAAAGTGCATTTATTTGGTATACAAGATAAAGCAGTATGCAAATAAATTAATTACATTTTTGATAAAAATGAAATTATCAGTAAAGGCCCTAATGGTACATTGAGCATGGTATTTAATAGAATTAATAGATTAAATAAAGGTGAAAAACATTTAAAGATTACTTGCGATAATGCGGATAAGCAGAATAAAAATAATGATACTATTTGATTTTATCTATATTTAGTAATCTGCAGCTATTATAAAAGTATCAAATTAAATTTTATGGTATCAGAACATACTAAATTCAAGTATGATGATAGTTTTAGATTAATTAAAAAGCTTTATCGAAAAATAACTATAGATTGTGTGAATCATATTATTAAGGTTGTGAAAAAATTAAGTATTATAAGATTAAACAAAGCTCAGTGCTATGACAATAGATAAGGTTTTCAGTACTTAGATCTTAATTCTGTATTGAGAATTTTCTTTAAAAAATTGAATGGTTTACAAAAATATCAGTATTTTCTCTTTAAAGTAACTCATCCAGGAGTTGTCAAAGCTCAGCTGGTTGCTAATGGTTCATATACTGAATTTAATTTATTGAAAATTAGAAAAGCAAGTGTTTCTGAAATTATCAAAGAATTAAATTTTTTTCTATTTTAGTTCTAATTCTGTCTCCTTTAAATTACAAAAGACAAGAGTATCTTTATCATAATATTCGTCCATTTATTAGAGACAAATTCAAGGATATTACTTGTCTCAAACTAATCTATACTGATAATGAATAAAAACATTTTAGTCAACTGCATATTTTATTAGTTTATTAGTTTATTAGTTTTGTTTATTTTTATTACTATAAATTCTTTATATTTAATCTTGTAATATTAAAATAATAATATAGGAATTAAATCATGACAAATCAAAATAATATTTTAACTAAAGAGAAAATAAAAGAACTAATTAGTAGTTTAAACTAAAATCCAAATGAGGCAGAGATAAGAGCAATTACAGATTACTTTTGACTTTACCCTTATACCTTAAAACATTTAGAAAATAAAGAAATTTAGAAAAAGTCTTATTTATCTTATTTACATACATCAAAATACACTTTCTTGATAAGTAAAAACTGATAAAGAAGTTAAAAGTTTACAATCCTTAATAACTAATTTAAAGAAAGAGAAGAATAGATTGCTTAAAAAAACTAAGCAATTAGAAGCAAAATAAAAAGTCTTAGAAGAAGTATTAGAATTAGAGAAAAATATTTCTAAATGCCATTTAGATGCTCTTGAAGTAGCTAGACAATAGAGAGTAAGGTAAAGCAAAGAAAAGATGACAACTTAGAAAAAACTTTAAGAAAAATAGAGATACTAGAAAATGTTATGGCATGGTAGAATTATTTAACAAACAAGCAATTTCAAGAACTGCTAACTTTACCAAAGAAACAAAACAAATTTAAACTCTTAACTAACAAAGTAAAAAGCAGAATTAAACAAGCAAAAGCAATAACTCAAGAGAAGTTTAACACTTACATCTTACAAAAGGATAAATAATTAAGTTAAGAAACTAAGCTATTAAGTTAAGAAGAGAAGATAAATGACATTGCAATTTTTACTCTTTTGAAAAAGTAAAAAGTTTAAATGCTACTTATAAAATATTATCTTATAATATCAGCAATAATGATTATAGTGACATTGTTTATATCTATGTTGAATGCAAAAAGGATCTTGATAATGATGCTCAACCATATTGTAATAATTGTAGTTGAGCTATGAGAAATAGAATAGATTGCTTCTGTGATTTAAGAAAAGATGAGCTATTAGTTAAAACTTCAACCATAACTAAAATAATAGCTTAGAGTTATATAGGTAGATTAGAACAACAAAATAAGGATTTAAAACAGCAACTAGCCAGTGCTAAGGAAGAAATCAATTCACACTTGAAAGCCTTAAATGTTTCAAAGGATTGACATAATAAACAAACGCAAGAATTATTGGATAAAATTCAAAGACTTGAAAGTGAGGTTGAATTCTTAAGAAAATAGCAGACTTAACACATTATTCAAATTGAAGTTAAAAAAAATAAGAGATGAGCTTGATTAAAAGTAAAGTAGTAATTTAAATTTCATAAGTGACTTTTCTTGATCTAAATATTCCTTGAGAATTTTGGTATCATTCATTTTAAAAACATATAGGGCAATTTTTTCTCCTTGTTCTTTTTTTAATATACTTCTAACAGTGCTATAATTCTTTGGTTCTATAATAGATTTAATGTAAATAAATTTCATATTTATATTTTTATATAGAGATAATTCTATATATATTAATCCTATTATGGTTTATATTCATCACATTCCAGTATGATAAAGTGAACATAAAATTAATGTCTATAAGTTATGAATGAGTACTATTATTCTTTTCAAAATGTCATCAGTTACATTAGTTAATTTTACAGCCACATCATAATCAGCCTCTCATTTATGTCATATAATAGAATGTTCACTTTGTCTGATTTTATTGCAGCATGCCTTATTTAATCTATCCTTTCAAGTGTTTTGCAAGCAAATTTAGCTGCAATTTTATTTAATAATTAAAATTATTTATAATAATTTTAAATATTTTTAAAATAACTTATTTAAAAATTAATATTT